ATTTATTTATTTATTTATTTATTTATTTATTTATTTATTTATTTATTTATTTATTTATTTATTTATATATATGACTTAATAAGGTTTGGATTTTAAAAATGTATTGTTTTATGAACAGGCAAAGGATCTCACCACCAGCATAGCCTCCAGCAGAGCATCAGTGAGGACAGCCTGCAAGACGAACCTCTCTATGGACGGTGAGGAAACATATTTTGCTCTAAAAGATGGAAATTTACTGAAAAATATTTTATTTCTTACAGCTTTTTTACATTTGTACTCATAACATTATGACTTATTCTGATTTAGGTCCCAGCAGCATCGACTCCAAGCACAGAGCTCCTCATCTGAGGGAGAACATCCAGGCCACGAAGTCCTAAACAAGGATTTAATCCAGCAGTACCAAAGCGGCGCTCCCTTCATTTCCATCTCACAGCCGGGCTTGTTCTGGAATCCGGACTCTGAGCAGGCAACGAGACAGCAGCAGACACTCCAGGCTCAACAGCAACTCCTAAAACTGCACATCAGATCACAAGGCAGCCTGCACAAGCAACAGTCACTGCAGCAAGTCCACGAACCCCTGCAATACGATGGAAAACCGGAAAGCTCGCAGATCTACACACCGCCTTTCTCGTGTCGTACCTCCCCTCTGTTGCAACAACAGCAAAGCTTCGGCTCGCTGTCCTCCAAGCTCTCCAGCTCCACCGCCCACTCCTCTCTTCTACAACAGATTCAACCGGTCTTTGCCACCCAGAACCTGGGCTCTCAGGCCTCCGTGCCGAGTTTACTGGTTCCTGTAAGGATCCAAACCAACGTGCCATCGTTTGGTAGTGCTATGTAYACAAGTGTGAGCCAGCTGATTGCTTCCTATGGGGCCGGAGTACAAGCCTTGAGCTCAGACGGTGCTGAAACCGACGACATGTCTCCTCCGCTCGGCGCGGCAAACATCGCCAAGCCGCCCGGACGAGTGGTTGGAGGGATAAGTGGAGCAGGATTCAACTTGTCCATCTTCCTCGGTCAGATTGATGGTGCAGCGCTACGCTACCCTCGACCCGAGCAGCAGCTGAACACGGGTATCCCACTGTCGCTAACATCAGGTACTATATCCACCACTGACGCCTCAGCTTCTGGTATCGTAGCCAGCAAACGCATGCTCTCCCCTGCCAGCTCACTGGAGCGCTTCGTAGAGACCAAACAGCAGAAACGAGTGAAGGAAGAGAGGATGTACGGGCAGATCGTCAGGGAGATGAGCGCTGTTGAGCTGAGTGGAGCTGAACGCACTTCCAAATCCGAGAAGCAGCCAGGGAGGGGTCAGAGCGAAGACTCCGTCGATGAGCCTGAGAGGATGTCCTCCTCTCCTCCGCTGAACAACATCCCCGCCAAGATCGCGATTCCCGTTCGTTCCCCGGCCCCCCACATCTCTGACATACCCCGAGCCGAAAGCTTCACTCCACCCCTCCAAATCATCACCGATCATCCCGGTGGACGAGACTCCCCGGAGGAGCTGGACGTGGACGTAGTGCCCCCCAGCTCCAGCCCGGAGCCCATGCTCGCCTCCGTCAACACGGAAGACGGCACCAAGAAGGAGCGAAAACCCGGAGCTCAGGCGCTGCTTCCTGCAGCCGACGCGCCGCAGTTCTTCCAGTTCCCCAGCCTGCGCACCGCGAGCCGGGTCAGCTGGTGTTTCCGAAACTACACCAAACCCAACAGCACCCCGTCGGCCGCTCGCGGCTCCGTCTACAGCTCGTGGTGCGTCAGCTCGTACAATCCCAACCCTCTGAGCCTCACTACCAAAGCTGCACTGGCTCTGCTCCGGTCCAAACAGAGCAGGAACTCTGACCTGATCTACACACTGGCAGCCATCTCAGCTCCCAGCTCTGGAAAACTGGTTTCATCCGTGGCCTGGAAGCTGAGGTTTGATCAGGTATTAAGTGCTTTCTATGTAAAGCGTGTGGAGGTGCATTGATCCAAAACAACAAAGAACTAAACAGTCTTTAACTGAACTCCTTCCTCTGTTTTCTCTGCAGCTGAAGCCYGAGCTGATGCCAATAGATGTAAGTCATTTTGGGAGGAAGATGAAAGGAGTGGTATCATGGGACCGCTCAAAGGATGAGCAGGTAGAGAAGGAGGTGTCGGTCAAGCAGCCGTCCACCGAACCAACTCGCATCAAGATCTTTGAGGGCGGGTGAGTCCAGCGAAAACAGACCAATGGCATTTTTTTACTGCCGTTTTAATAATTCAAAGGAATGAAATGAGATTAACCGTATTTATTCCAGTAAAATACATAAAATTAAATCCATAAAATCATCCATAAAGTTAGGGGGTAGTACTATACTCTGATAAATATTTTCACTTATGTATTTTAACTGAAATATCGGCTTCATTCACCAAATGCCAGAGTCCAGAAATGAGACCGCGTCGTAAAAAGTATTTGAAACGAGCTCACCTCTGACACTCCTCCGTGCTTCAGAGGGAGATAATAACAGATCCAGGCAGGAGACATGATGTGAGAAAAAGAGGTGAAAGTATTTCTGCAGCTCAGTAATGATAACAAACTAATGACATTAGCGTGTGACCGAGCCGCTCCTCGAACAACAACAAACACATGTTCGTCTGTAATGGCTGCCATCTACCGGTGTTCTGAAAAAGTTTTTGTCCCTGAAAAAAGSTTTCCCCACCAGAGGGGGCGCTCGCGAGTAGGAAGTAATCTGCTTTTCCCCCACAAGATGGCCCAAATCTAATGTGGAGTCTGACCTTTGTGTTGGCGCCTCCTGGTGGACTATGTGTAAAATGCCAGAATTCATATGATGCTGCTACAGCTGATATACAGTATATTTGTTGTCAAAATACCTTTTAGTRCATATGTTGTTAAAATAAAATGAACAGTCCAATGATCATTTTACTGATATGTATAAAGACTGCAAAGGATGAAAAATCTTGAAGTCTGTATGAAATTGGAGGTAGTTTGAGGATTAAAATTTTTATGCTTTTTAAGCTCAAAAAAGGGGGGGTCGTATTATACATGAGATCGTATTATACATAAATAAATACGGTAGTTTTTACTTTGAAGATCACAGTTTAAATGAGCCTTTATTTTGATAGCTGAACGGACAGAAACCTCCTGTTTTGTTGTGATGTTCAAAATAGAAACTGAACAGAGAAGTGGTGTAACACAGAGTGGGTCAAGTCAACTAACACCAACTAATTAACATAAAACAAGAACTGAAACAGTAAACAGATGGATAGCTAAATGAGTAATTCTGGTCAATTTTATGTTTACGGTAAGATTTACAAGAAAAATAAATAAAAATAAAAAAGCAGCTCTGCGGCTGCTTTATTCTCAGTGTGAATAAACCAGATCTTTAATCTCCAGAAACACTGAGCTGTCTTTATTAGTGTGAGCTGCTGAGCCTGTAATGGAAATAAACACCAGTGACCATCGTATGAACCGTCAGGACATCCATCTCACTGCGATYAGCTAGAAAAACACTCGGAGGTGTAAAGACTTTTCTTTTTCCAGACGGCTCTCTGGGCTTCGTTTCTGACTGCGATTCGATCCAACAGCCTGAATCTGGTGAACTCATCATGACCCGAGCTGCCGCGCCGTCATTTCATGTCAGCTTTCATTCCTGCACACAAGTTTAAACGCTGATTTGAAGTGAGATCCTTTGTCCTTCATGGTGCAGTCCTAACAGTTTCAGCAGATTTTATTTATTTTAGCACTAATTTTACCCAAGCTGTCTTTTATTGCCACGTATTAGTTTGCATTTATTTATATATTTATGGGAACAGATCACTATTTCGTTGTAACAACATAGCTTTGGTTTAAATTCTGGACAAATTAAACTAAATTTGGCCTTTTTATACACTGCAAAAATAAGAAAAAATTGAGTCAAATCAAGTATTTCAAGAATCTTACCAAGTAAAATTTTCTTACTCCAATGGCAGAAATTTTTTACTTAATTTGAGTCAAATTTTCAGACTAACAAGACAAATAATCTTACACATTGTGAAAACAAGATTATTATTCTTACACAATCAGTTCTTGTTTAGTAAATCAGTCTCAAAACAAGATCAAAAATACTTTTTGGCTGATATAAGATTTTAAAACTTGGTTAGGTGGACATTTTTTGCAGTGTATATATATTTTGTTCCCATAAAACTAGTTTGTTCCTTTTCTTTTGGACTGGTTTTCAAATAAAAAGCCAGTTTTCCTGTTAGTTTAACTTTACTGTGTAAATGTACCACACAAAAACAAAAAGATAAATATTTAAAACACAATTATGAAAAAGAAAAAAATTGTATAGGTCTTCTGGACGGGTTCTTCTCTAATGAAACGTTTCGTCTCTCCTCCAAGAGACTTCTTCAGTCTGAGACTCCTGGGTTTGTAGGGAGAAAGAGAAATCACACACACGACAGGCCCTGGAGCAGTGTGGTTATC